AAAAAGTCCGATTTTATGTCAAAATACCTATGTTAGAATAGTGCTATATATAAATCTAATATATATCCTATGTCGCGCTTTCGAGACATGAAGAACGCAATTTGAATTTTGTCAATCGGCCCAGTAGATCGGGAGATATAGGACTGTCCCATTTTTTTTTTAGCAGTGTACATTAATTATTGATTCTATATTCATCATATTTGAAAGTTCTTTGATAAGCAATTTTCTTTCCTAGTCAGAATAATAAAATTTAGCAAAAACTATAACTGTAAGCAAAAAGCAAGCTATAACTGTTCCATTGCCTGCAACCCCACTTTGCACAACAGTCCCACATTTATGGATCTGATTTTTTTACTCATCAGCAGGGCTTCAATTTGAGGATCCTTAGAGGCTAATGGATTCTCAAAAAAGTTGATTATATAATTCACTGTGTTGAATTCCATATTAAAATACTGAACGGACAGTGGAAATAGTTTCATTTTTTTTTATTGTTTAAAAACAAAAATATAGAGGTGGATCATGGTTTTGCTATTCATTCAAAATTATTCCTAATGCCTTTTTATGTAGCACATTTGGAATAACTGCGTCAGATTTTGTTTTACCAAAGATATTTTACAGCTACTGTAGAAATCTTGTTAAGTTTTTTAAATTTAATTTCAAATTGCAGTCAACTGAGTTATATATGATTGTATTTAGCTGTGTGGTATAAGACCTATTTCTAAAGCAACTATTGTATCTTCTTCCTTATAATCCACTTTTACTATAAACTGGATGATAATGCACGGCCTTTGTTTCTATAATCTGATCGTTAATGCTGTCTTGTTGCTAAAGCATCCATATATCCAATTTTCAAAATGCTTTGACAGATAGTATATTTTGCTTCTTGTAAAATATTTCCTGCTTGACCATTCATAATCTTGGTATAATATTCACTCTTAATTTGGTACATTTTTTGTTAAATAGTTATACACATACTTTTTGTGTTCATCACATCTCATTTTATTTAGTGCTGTGTTATACCCATAATTAAATTATGGAACTGATAAGAAAAAAGACCAAGTAATTATGTCCATATGACAAAAATTGGGAAAAATATTTTATTATAAAAACATTATTACTTTGTCTTTTTGCTTTTTGCTTTTTGAAATTTTTGGGGATATCAACTTAATAAAAGAAGTGAAAGCACAAAATTGTGAAACGAAGATTTAACAAGTACAATAACGTAAAATTAAATAGCAGGCCTAACCTGAAGCCGGCTGGTACAGCAGTTGTACCAGGAGAATGACTTTCTCAGACGCCGGCATCGGTACAACTGTCGTACCATCCATGCCCTCCCCATTTTAGAGAATCGCCTATCTGTAGATCTTTGGGTGGTCCATTGTCGCTGCTCAGAGTAGCCGCTGGCTACGCATTATTTCCCTCTTCTTATCAGTTTGGCTACATTTTGGCAAAAACCGCAGGTTTCGTCTCGCGCCAATATACTTGAAAATTAAATAGAGGCCATCTCTTTCTCAATCTGTCTCATAATTTTAATGCTAATTTTTTTTAGTACTGACTTTTGCTATGATTAAAACGTCAGCGATTTTGCACGCTCTTTAAGCTTACCATATTTAATGTTTTTTAATCATAACAAATAAGAATAGATTAATATTTTAGATTTAATGCCCTTCTAGAAAATAGGTAAAACCGCTTTTATCGTTTACTTCCTTTTCATACTTATGAATAATAAGATTTTATTTTGACATTTTTTTTGTGGAGTGCATAAAACCCTTAAGAACTGTCAACTCTTTCAAAGTGCTTCTATTATGCAGGCAATTTTGTCTGATTTATCAGGAGATAAATAAGAGACAATTGTATGTGATTTTCATTCATTCAGTGATTGCTTTCAATGATTTTCATTGATTGTAAATTAAATAAAATCAATTTATCTTTACACCCTCTTTTAGGATGAGATCTGCCAAAAAATATTTAAATATCAGTAAAGCTCACGTTACTTCTAAACTGAATCAAAACATCAGTTACATTTTATAAAATTTTGGCCAGTTTTATTTGCTGAAATTCTTATACTCTTCAAGAGATAGAGAGAATTCAGACAAGTTGATAAAAAAATATCTTAAAAAAAGTTGTTATTTTGTCTGTAATAAGGTGTATGTCAACTTACTATTAAATGTATGAAAATTAGGATTGGATTACGGAAAAGCACGCGAACGCTATCTGCTTAAGGGGATGGATGCTTTCGTGTAAACCTTTTTAAGAGAAAATTGCTCGCATTTACATTCCTGGTGGAAAACTCCACATGTAATCAACCCGTTCTTCGGTATTGATTGGATTAATTTTGTTCGCTTACTGAATTACATCAAAGCACCCAACGATTACCTGTATAAGGGGAGTTATGTTTTCGCGGAGGACTTTCTAAGAGAAGCTGGCTTGCATTGACGTTACACAAAAACCATGAATCCAACTATTTATCCGGGATTCAAATCCAAGCGAGCTACAAGTGTTCAGCCACTTTACCACTCTACTGAAGAGCAGGTAAAAATATTGATAAAGGAAAAGTATTGAAATAACCGGTTTGATTTACTAACCTATATTTCTCAATCGACAGTACATAAATTACGCATATGAGGGGGATTATTTGTGAATAAATAAACTGTATTGCACTTTTCTCCACTATTTCATATTACGATGGAATTATTGCATTTCAAAGTTATTTCTCATGAATTAATTTTGCTCTTCATGATTTTTGATATTTTCAAAGAGAAAATTCCACACTTTAAATAAAAAAATACACGAGAAGATACTTTATGCAAAATTTGGCGTAAACGGTTTTCTTAATTTTGCTTTGAAAATATTCCAGGGTAATCGTTTTCATTACTGGAAGAAATATGAAAAACAGATTTACTACATTGTGTCAACACCCAAATATTTCCTTATTCTTTTGAAAACGTGAAAGATTACTCTTTCTAAAATAAATTAGAAAATATATTATGTGCAAATAGAATATTCGTTGAAAATGAAATAGACTTCAACTTTTGGATATAACGATGGTTTTAGACGAAATTTCTACCTATGAAAAGAAATTGACGTATAATTAATTCTTCATGAACATTTAAAACTGTTCTCAAAATTCTTTTGATGATTGCATGTATAAGTCACGGATTTTTTTCTCTGCTAACATAAACAAAAGCCAATTTTACAAAGAAAAATTCTCGTTAAAGATATACCTTCTTTGCCTGATAGTCCAATGTAATATTTGTTAAAGTTAAATGATTAAACGCAACCAATGTATCTCGGATTTTGATTTTTATATTATAATAACAAAATTATCGAAAAAAGCAGATTTAAATCTCTGTTATTGTTATGTAAAGCTTTATTATTGCTGTAAGTTCATCTCAAAATCTAATTGTATTGAATCTCATTCTAATCATCTAATGGTAATAAATATTATTATTATTATTTCATTAAATTAGTCATTACCATTATTTTATTAATGAAAATATGTTATTAAAAATCGCATTCCGGCCTGCAGACTTACAAATCTAGTCCGTATTTACTATATTTTGTTAAATTTTGTTCTCGCTTTCTAATTTCTAATACGAAAATACACGAATATAAATGAAGAGTGAAAACAAAGTTAAAAAATTCACAAATTATTTACGAGATTGATTAGACATAGTGAGTGAAATATAAACATTGTATACATTTTGTTCTAAATAAAGTGTGCACTGGATATGCATCCAGTACTGCATATTTATTTATAACTTCATTTAAATGAAAGCAAAATAATCATCGAAAAAATTGCAAATCTAGCAACCCCTCTACTGTGGGACGTAAGCGTCCGAGAAACATGTAAATTTTACTTCATCCATGGAGGGGAACTAACGACTTTTCTCATTAGGAAAATGTCAAAGAGGGGGCAAAACTGTTTCGGATCGCGCCAGTCTGAAGGCTATATTATGAGAATTTCGGCCCGGTTTTAGAAGGTTAATGAATAAAATTAAACATAAATATAATTTAGAATGAATGAAACAAATGCAAACAAAGCATATTTGACATGGAGACTGAGAGGGGATTTGAAGTGAGAGTTAGGCAGGGCTACCAGCTGCAAGATATTACATATAAGGTAAAGCTGATTTCGCTTTTAGCCAATCAGAATGCTTTCTGGCATTTGATGACCATGATGTCAGGTGGCAGAGAAAACAAAATTAATAAAAAAAACTTTTTCTGTGGGTTATTATTCCAGGAGAACTCTTATTGAGTAGTGATTGTAGCCAGCTCTCTTGGGAAGAGTTAGTGGAAATTCAGCACCTCCTTATGGCAATAATTTAGATTACAGCACTGAACATCATTATTCACTGCAAGAGATTTCGAAATAAAAATATATTTAGTATTTTTGTCCCCTTTAACTTTCTAAGGACAGGAAAGCTGATTAAAGGACTGCTTTCTAATAAAGGATGGCTGACAACCCTAGCTTTGATTTTTGTCAAGGCTGTGGTTTAGAATATGAACATAATTTTTACAATTACTGCACTGTTACTGGTCTAGCCTAGACAATCTGTACTGATCTCATCAGAGCTGTACAAGAACTATTGTTTGCCTTGTTGCACCTCCATTCAGTGATGTACCTTGGATAGACTTAATATCGGCGGCCCTTACCTAGGATTTTGAGAAATAAAAGGATGTACATTATATTGAAATTGTGCCTATAATCAAATTAATGAAGTTTATTATCTTTATCAAATTCTTGCATTATTAATTTTGGGGAAGTCCAGATTTTCGCCTATTTATAAGTTGCATTTGATTTGAGATGTTTCACCGTATTTGCAAATGCATTTCATTCACTGCTATTTGCCATATTTTTGTTATTTGATTCATATATACATAAATTCTATTGTTGAAATATATATTAAGTAACATTTATAATAATTAATTTATATCGTATAAGTATATATCATAAACGTTATATATAATTACTTTTTTAATATGAATTTTATTTATAGATTTATAGCAAAGGAGCAAATACGATCTGGTTCAGAAGATCTGCATGCACTTATTTCAAGTGAACAAGTATATTTCCTTAGTAGTGGTTCTCCTTCATCAAGTAATGTGGTACTGACTGTTCCTTTCTCAGATTTATTCAAATGTAGTTACGTATGCTCCGGTGCTGGAGTAATTGGAGAAATAAGACACTATTTACAACTTACTATGAAAGCAGACTCATCTGCTGGTTCCGTAACTGTTCCTAATGATTTAACAAGCAGAAGACATTCCAGAAGTATGTCAGCTGAACCTCTCTGCAAAAAGCCTCAAGTTCGTTGCGATTCAGAGGAAGTTGCACGAAAGGTATGACTTTAATAATAAAACAGAATGTTCACACTTTTTACATAGCATCACAAGAATATATAACATATAGACATAAGAAATATTAGAAAATTTGCTGAAATAAGATTTAATGAAGGTTAGTAATTATATAATAATTGTTACAGTGTTGCCACGCTACCTGGAAAGCCAGAAAAAGTCAGGGAATTTGAAAAATGATCAGAAAAGTCGGGGAATTTAAATAATTTTCATATTTCGGGTAGCTGATGTAGTTTTCGCTGCTTCAATTAAATTGTCTTTTAGAAAGGCAAAGTAAGTTTCCAGCAACTTTGGTTTCCAGTAACCTGAGAATCGAGAGACTCACATGTGCAGTGCATGATGAACTAAAGAAAATACCTTCCCATTCTTGTATAAACCAATTGGGTTAACACATCGAATCGGTAAATATACATCTACATGGGATTTGGCACTTCGTAAATTTCATTTTGGTGTTGCGACAGTTTTCAAAATAGTGCCGCCATAAATACTAGGATTTTACCGCAAAATCTTTAAACCTTTTTTTTAAATAAATGCCTTATTTGCTAAATTATGCAATGGTTTATTTGGCTAACAATTTAATCTAATATATTCGCCAAATAGTGGTTAAAATGTTTGATTTTTGTTACGTAAATTTAAAATGTTCTTACCTCTAAATTTATTATTTAATAATACTTTCAAAAATTGCAGATAATTTTTGGATGTAATTCTGAAACTAATAGTATATACTGACTACAAAATTTAATTAATGATGCTATAATAAATTAGAAAATATCTGAGAAAATATAATTAAGAAATTTCTTTCTTTCGTTTAGTTGGGGCAAAATGTCTATGAAATTTTAATAACAGAAATGGGGAAAAAATAGAATGAGTAATATTGAGGAAAAAAATTCTGAAGTGGTACAGTAATTAATTTAGCCAAATCTAGCAGGGCCAAACATGCACTACTGGAATTTTTTCACACACCTGGAAGGAAGTCAGGGAATTTCCATTCTCCTGTTTGAGTGGCACCCCTATATTGCTTTGTAGTTTCAATGTATGCAATATATTTCCAGGTTGCCAGGTGCAGATAAATTATGCAAAAAGTCTTCATGAAGAAAGGACCTACATGGTTATCAGTGATGAAGAAAGGAGGATGAAAAGAATAAGAAAAAAAGTTGTGATAACATTAAAAAAAAATAAATAATAAAAAAAAAAAAAAGAGATTAACTTCCAGTTTTAGATATGTGTCATAGAATATTCCAGTAACAAAATATAGTTTTTGTAAAATGTGTATAGAATTAATATAAAGATGAAGACTACTAGCATTAGTAATTTAGTAAAAATATTTTATTGGTTTGAATTCTCTTTCAGCATGTTAAAATTAGTCATTCTCGCTGTATAATTTAGGCTTCTGTGTACATGTCTCATTTAATATTTTGATTGTTACTCTTTCTCAGTTTAAAGTTGAATTTTATGTAAAATGTAAATACGAATATTTTAAATGTTTGAAAATTAGAAAATGTGAAATGTCAAATAAATTTTTTCTTATTATGTAAACAAATATCTTTTTGCAATTTGATTTTAAAACAGTGGTAAATATTTGGTACAAAAAATAAGTTTAGATATAAAATATATATTCAAGAGAAACAATTAGCAAAATATGTAACATTATTATCTATAAATAGGTACTAATTTTATGTGGGGAAAAGGTAAAAAAATATAGATCATAAATTTAATAAAATATTTAAACTTGTCCAACAAAAAAAAAAAAAAAAAAAAAAAAAAATGCCAAATTTTATGGCACTTAAAGTAGTACAGGGTTCGTAAGGTCCTTAAAAGTCCTTAATTTTGGCCAAAATGAATAAACGGTCCTTAATTTGCTCATTTGACATTTCTTATCATTTCTAATGATTGCCATTCTAAGTGTGAATTGCAATTTCTCATGAATATGGAAATTAAAATTACACGGACTCTTAACCAATCTGTTGGCGGATTTGCGTTGCAAACGATAAAAAAAATAATAATAATTAGCTACCCGTAGAACGAAAGTATCGGGTGTCTGATTGGCTATTCACCCAATCTTTTCGAAACAGGTGTTATCCATAAATTTAGGCAGATTGTGACGAAAGCGTGAAGCCGGAAGTTCTTTAAGAGGCGAAAGTGATGATGAAGGTGCTCGAGAAAAAAAAAAGTAAGGGGGGATTCTGAAAATATTTGCCAAAATTAGAAGCAATCCCAACCTGGAAGGCCACAACCCTTCCGACGCCAATAGGAACGAGATGCCTGGAAAGTGCATTTTCAATAAACTGTGGCTTCATCAAAGCTGACTACAAAGACTGGATATTGATGGATGACAATCCTTATAAAACTAAATGCTAAATGGGGTCTTTGTCTGAAACAAATTGAAATTTCTAGAATGGGAGAGTCAGCGCTGAAAATTCACATGAAAATTAAGTTTCGTTTTATCATTTCAATTTGTTTTTACATGGTTTTGCTTAGCTTAATTTCTGTGTTTGTTTCAATTAAGCCATAAATTAATTTTTGATCACCTTCTACGGAGTTTATTCTCTTTTGCACATACTATATGTATGGGATATCAGGATTATGAGTTTATTTCTGCAGAGGCTTGTCTGTTATCGATTTCGCGGGAAATCTGTTGGCTCCATTTCGATTTTAGGTCGCCAAGGGCAAATTCGGTAACGCTAGCCGAGAAAATGTGAAGTTCGGAAATACGTTTTGAAGCTTCAATAGACAATTAAGTATTTGGTTTAAATCTATGTTGTTGATAGTAATGCATAATTTTTGCTAATGGTGATACAATTATTAGTTGAAAATAACTAATTAAAATTTTTTAAATATTTTTAAAGCTCAAAACAACTAATTGAAACTAATTTTCCTGAATTAACTAGACGCAAAATTAACTTTCATGAATTACTAAAGTTATTGGGTAGAAGTTTAACTGAAAATATACATTCTGTATTATATATATTATATATATGTAGTGGGGGAGTTGAAGATGCTAAATAACAATTCCAACGTTGTTTTCCACACCACAGAACATTTAATAAAGATAATCAGAAAAGGTACAAATTAGATTAAATACAAGTGCCGTTTGATACAAACAGGATTCTGTATAGTTTTTACCAGTCTTATCACATAACCGATTAGTGCCTACTCGCACTTGCTGATGTATTATACAGTTCAATTTACCACCTTCGCGTGGAAAACTACAGTTCCTTATTCTACACCTTCACGTGTAGACAGACATCTCACCACCTTCGCGTGGGATAGCAGAAGAAAGTCTCTGTCATACTCCTCTTTCACCTCGCTGCTGGCGCATCGGTGAGGCCCTCTGGTGGTTGTGTCGCACTTACAGATACTACAACTCGTCCGTCCTGACACTTTTTTCGTCCACGAAAACACGGATCAGCAACACTGGAACATCAAGACAGCACCTGAAAATAAATTAAAAAAAAAAAAAAAAAAAAAGAAAAAAAAAAAAAGAAAGAAGTGTGGAAGAACCACACATAGTCCTATATAGTAGAAGTCCATGGCTTCATGAGATCAGCTGCTGTAGTGGTACATCCAGGACCTTCATGGTGTCCCACTTTTCCCACCTGGTAACGATCTTTGCCTTTCCTCGCTGTTACACGATATGGGCCGAAGAACTTTGGCCTTAACTTTAGTCCACCTCCATACTGCGTTCTTTGTATGGCAACTAAGTCGTTCACATTGTATACTTGTGCCTCTTTTCTCTTCTTGTTGTATGTTTTTCTATTCTCTTCCTGAATTTTTAGAATGTTTTTTCCTTGCTTCCTCTCTCATATCTTCTCGATCTTTCATCATAATATTTCTTTCTTCTTCTTCAAGAATTTCCATAATCTTTAAGTCCTCTCGATTTCTCATTTTAACACCAGTGAGAAGCTCAAATGGAGAACTCTTTGTGCTTCTGCTCTTAGTACTGTTCAAGATCCTTTGTACATCTCCAACATATTTGTACCACTTGGTTGGATCATCTATGGATAATTTGGATAGGACTGGAATCAGAGTGAGATGAATCCTTTCCACTTGTCCATTTCCTCTAGGAACGCCTGTAGTTGTAAATATGTGCTGGATCTTCTCTTGACTACAGTAATCTTCAAAGTCTTTAGAGGTAAACGCCGTACCTTTATCACTTATAATTCTCAAAGGATTACCGAAAGTTGATTGTTGCAGTTTCAGCTTCTGCAATGCCTCTTGAGCTGATGTAGACTTTACTGGATAGAGCCACACGAACTTTGTGAATGCATCAACCACGGTTAAGATGTGATTTGTAGTTCTTATTTGTCGAACGGTAATGGTCCTATAAAATCGATATGAAAAGTGCTCAAAGGGATACTATCTTTTGGTATGGGATTCAGCAATCCTTCGCTCTTACCTCGTTTTCTGTCGCACAAAATACATTCTACACAATTTGAAATAACTTGTTCAATTCGTTTTTTCTAAGGTTAGGAATATAAAAGTCCGTTTTTTAGCAGATCTTCTGTTTTAGACACTGCGAAATGTCCCTTGTTGTGGATACTACGTATGATTTCTAGCTCTAATGCTTCGGGTACCACAAGTAACTCACGACCACTGTCGAACTTGTATAATACTCCATTTTTCACTAGGAAATCTTTCTTTAGTCCTTGCTCGACTAAGGATTTTAGCAACTGGAGACGCTCATCACTTCTTTGCGCAGCTGCAATTTCTCCCTGAGAACAAGTAACCATCATAACAGCGTTTCTACTTAATGAATCCACATGCTTCATTTGTTGCCCAGATCTGTGAACAATTTCATAGTCAAATTCTTCTAGAAGTAACGCCCATCTCTCCACTTTAGAGGTTAAATCCTTCTTAAACATAGTCCTCTGGAAAGCGTTACAATCCGTAATTATCCTGACTTTAGATCCTAAAAGGTAATTCCTGAATTTCTTTAGAGCTTCTACTATAGCTAAAACTTCAAGCTCATAAGTAGATAGCTTCTCTTGTTGGAGACTCGTTTTTTTACTCATGAAGTAAATGGGGTGTAACTGTCCATCATCTGACTTTTGTAGCAATACAGCGCCGAAACCATGACTGCTTGCGTCTGTATGCAATTCTAATGGTGCTCCTTGTTTAAAAATATGAAGAACCGGACTTGTGGATAAAAGTTCTTTCAATTTATTAAATGCATCTTTTTGCTCAGGCCCAAATTTGAATTCTGCTCCGTTACGAAGAAGATCACTTAGTGGTTTCGCTATTTTTGAATAATTGGCAATAAATTTCCTAAAATACCCAGTAAGACCCAAGAAACTTTGAATCTGCTTAAGGTTTTTGGGTTCCGGGAAATTTTGAACAGCCCTGGTTTTTTTCAGTAGAGGGGCGAATTGTACCATCCTCAATAACATACCCGAGAAATTCTATTTTTCTTTTCAAAAATTGGC